AAAAAGCAAGCATGTAAAAAGATGTAAAAAGTGCAGTCTAACCACATTTTTGTAGAATACAGGCAAAATGACAACAAGAGAAGTTACGTGCTAGGAGTTGTAAGCTTAAACAGTGATTTTCAAGATTAGAAAAGATTAAGGTTAAGAAAGGAGGATATGAGATCATTCAAATGTATTGTCTGGAGTGTGTGCAGAACATTCATGGGAGGTCTGTAGGAGCAGGTCAGACAAACATTGTCAAGAATGACATCGTCACAGCTGGCCCTGTGCTGGGAGAGGAAAACAGGCTGGATGTGCCTCAAAGCTATCAGCTTTCCTAGGCTTCTGCTAAGGCCTTCATCTTGCRTTGCATTTGTTTATTTATTTAAATGGTTGCTTTCTTAGTTGGATACCTTCTGGTTTTTGCAGTCCTCCCACACACCACAGGCCCTCACAGTGCCAGTGGCAGCAGCACGGTGATGGAAGGGTTCCAGTCTGTGCTTTCCCTTCACTGCTGCCATGACAATGCACCCCCTGTTAGGTGGCATTTATGGTGATTTGGTGAGGGGCATGGTGGTGTGCAGAGCTGAGGGGAATGAGAGGAAGGCCTCTCCATGGTCAGGGTGTGAGGGTGGCTGTCCCTGAGGATCCTTTCCCTCATTCTCAGCACCCAGGGGCACACACAGGACAGGATGGGCTGACATGTCCTTTCTGTACCCTGCACCACCCCGCTTTGAGACCACCAACTTATGTCCCAACCCGGTGGGTGAAAGCTCCTGGGAGGGGGAATCCTGTGCTGGAGGCTGGAGACAAACTGCTGTGAGGAACTGGCTTTGCATATGGCTGCTTTCAGCTAGGCCTAGAGAATCCAGGGCACCAAGGGCTACAGGGACAATATAACTTATGGAAAATAAAGATCCTGAAAGAGTTAGGAACTGGTGTTGGCAAAGGGAATGGGGTTGAGCTGGGGGAAATTCAGGCTGGCACGCTGAGGGGTGTCCCAGGATCGAACCTCCCAGAGAGCAAACAGGAACCTGCTGGGGGTCACTGCTGCTTTCCTTCTGTGGTTGGCTTTTCTCTGCCCCAAAGCAGAGGCAGAGGATGCTGAGCACTGGCCTAGGTGGGAGGAATAGTGATGTGCCTCCAAATTGCTTTATTTTGATGCAGACCCAGCGAGCTTCTACGTGAAAGCATTCAACAGTCCCTCTGTCTGTGTTTGGGGATGTTGTCYTGGTTTATGAGACCTGCAGGAGACTGAGCTAACATAATCCAGAAGGAATAGGCTCGTAGGGAAACACCAAGAAATGCAGCATTTTCTTAAACTGTCATACCTAGAAGTCATCTGAATTCTTAGATCCAGCTCCAGCAGTAAGTGGTATCTTCTCAGTACAAAGGCTTAATTAAGCATCACAAAAATTGGAGCTGAAYGTGAACTGGAAATCTAGAGCTGTGCTTCAAATTCCAGCAGCTCTCATTTTTGTGCAGAAGAAGGGATTTGTGCTTGATGTTTCCATTCAGCTCATTCTAAAAATAGGAAGCCTTTGCAGGATTTTAATCCAGCATTTCAATTTGTGTTTTCCTGAAGCAGCTCCATCTCTGACCAGACACAAAATGTAAGCAACCCAGCAAGTGCGTGTATACTGCCTCCATGTGACCAAAAAAGAAACTAAAGTTTGAATTTTCCATTGGAAGATTTCTGCCACTGCTTTCAAATAACTGTACATAATTAACAAACAAACAAACAAACAAACAAACAACAAACAAACAAACAAACAAACAAACAAACAAACAAACAAAATGTTGCTTTTTGAATCAACGTGATTCCTGTTTATGGGCAATCAAAAAGCTTGAATTTTTAGTGATTTTATATTAAAAAATACATCAAATGCTTTTTTTTTCCCATGGTTTTTTATTGTGTGCTTCACTTTCGAAGAAAATTGTTCCGTTATAAACTGGATTTTTCAGGATCCAGTTTCCTAAGCATAGGAATCCAGTGCCATTTAGGTACTCCTTTGTTACCTTGTTTATTCTCCCCTTCTGCTTGGGGTTGTGTCGTATTTGCAGCTCCATGAAGTTCCCTCACATGTCTCTGAAAACCTCAAATTTCACTCAATATCTTTTTTAATTACTTTGATTGCCCCCCTTGTGAATACCACCATGCCATGAAATGTTTTGGGTTTTTTTAAAGTAAGCATTTATGGATAAAACTTGTTTTATTATTAACTTATTTTTTTCCATGAAGAATTAAAAGATTCTATTTTTCTGCTGTGATTTAGAATGGAAACAGTTTCCTAGATGGTGTGACTACACTTGGCTCAGCATCAGGCTGAACTCGTTGCTCCGCAGCACTGCCAGCCCAGGAATCAGCTTGGTAAAGGAACACATCAGAGCTGCCTGTTGCCAGCATTATTTTAATGGTGCTTTGTGTGTCTTTCTCTCTTTTTCTTTCTTTTCAGAGATTGTTGGTGTAGGATGTGTCCTCAATGGGGTCAGGTATAAGAATGGGGAGACGTTTCAGCCCAACTGCAAATACAACTGCACGTGCATTAATGGGGCCGTGGGCTGTGTTCCCATGTGCACAAACTCRCGTCCTCCGCTTGTCTGGTGCCCAAACCCAAAGCTGATTAAGATGGCAGGGAAGTGCTGCGAGCAGTGGGTTTGTGATGACTCCAGGAAAATCAGGAAGACATCTCCRCGTCACATATCCTCTGCAGGTACGGTGGGAGTGAGGCAGATCCCTCCTTTGCCATCAGGCAGTCTACAAGTAAAGTATCAGCTTCTACTGCCAGAGCTGGCAGCGGTCTAATCTTTGTGAGGGAGACAGAGCCTCCCACATAACATGTGCTGAAGGACAGTTTAAACACTAGTGTTGTGCTAAAACTCCTTATCCATGAACATCATCCCTGGAAGTGTTCTAGGCCAGGCTGGATGGGACCCTGAGCAACCTGATCTAGTGGGTGATACCCTGCCCATGTCAGGAGAGTTGGACTGAAGTGATATTTAAGGTCCTTTCCAAACCTCCAAACCAAACCACTCCATGATTATATGAATATGGCATTCATCAAATATGTTTGTGAAACCAGCGTGGAGTTCTGTGTGCCAAGTCCCCTTTGAAGACGTTGCAACTTCTTTTTAATTCTTTTTATTTTTTTTTTCCCAGTTTGTGTGGAACCTCTAGGAAAAAGAATGGGTTAAGTTTAACTTGGGACTGAGACTTTCTGTCAGGTTTATATAGCTATTGTACTGCAATTTTAAAGCCCCTGTGTCTTAGGAGTCTCAAACTTACATAACACCCTGAAAGCAGTTACTGTGTAGAAGTTTCACTGTGAGTTGGGCTAAATTGTATTTGTGGTAGTATAGCTTTTCATCACTTCACTCATAGAAGTCAGATTAGGATTTATTGCATTTAATATAATAATGAATACAATAATAAATAAAACMGTGAGCAAGTGCAGCAGTTTCTGTCAGAGTTTTGCCTATGGACTGTCCTGTGAGCTGTAAAGCAATGATGACTTTAGCTGAGACTGGGACAGAACCTGAACTGGGGCTGTTGACAGCTTTCAAAACAGAGCCCACCCTTTCTTCAAATGGCTGCTGAGCTCTGAGGACTATTGAAGCTGTTCTTCCTCCCGGTGAAAGGCTGTGGCTGCTTCCCAAGCCCTCTGCCATCCAGCAGAGACTGTTGACCACTTTCTGCTGCAGGGAACCAATTGAATGGGCTCAGAAATAAACCTTCATGGTGAGATCAGATCTCATCCCTTTTCTCCACCCGCTGGCTCAGGCTGCTGTAATTGTTTATATTGTGGCAGCACCTGGGGGTCCCAGACAAGGACCCCCTTGTGTGAGTCTGTGAAGGGGAATAAAGGAATGAGCCCTGGCCCCGAGCACTCGCAGCGCTGGAGAGTCTGACACAAGTAGGTCAGCACAAAGGGGGTGGGATCAGGGGGTTCACAGGAACGCTGAGCCACTTTGCYGTGGTTTAATTATTTGGGTTAGTGGCCTGAATGTGCAATGAGCTGGGGAAAGGATGCTTAATATGTAAAGCTGCCCGGGCTGAATAATGTGGGGTTAATCTGTCTCTGCAGCTTAYGAGGGAGAGGATGAAGCCTGGCAGAAGAACTGCATCGTTCACACCTCACCCTGGAGTCCCTGCTCAAAGACCTGTGGGCTGGGCATCTCCACCAGGATTTCCAACGACAACGACCAGTGCCGGCTGCTGAAGGAAAGCCGCCTGTGCAACATGAGGCCCTGCGAGGTGGATATAACCCAGCACATCAAGGTGGGGACTGTTTTTTGTGCACCCCTWCAGCTGGACACTGAGCCAGCCTTTGTTTGGCAGCATTCAGGCCTCAGAAGGCTGCACTTGTACATGGAATTACTGTKCTGCACTGAGTTCCAAAATGTGTCCTGCCTGTGCTGGTATGAAAACCTTCCCCTGAGAGTTTTAGTTCCAGCCAAAAGGTCCTTGCAAGGAAAGCCAAGCCAAGCCTGCTGTGCTCAATGCTGGCTTGGACAGCCCTGTGCTCAGCTGGCAGAAAAGCAGTGCTGCACTTGTGGTCATGGCTGTGAACTCTATTATACAAGTATCCTTGGGTTCATATGTCTAAACATAAAAATCTTTCACATCCCCCAGATCAGGTCTGTAAAAATCTTCCTAACAACTATAAACTCATTTAAACATAGGAATCATAGAATAGAATAATAGAATCCTTAAAGCTGGAAAGGAAGTCCAAAATCAGTAAGTCCAGCCTTTGCCTGAATACTACCATGCCCAATAAACCACAYTGCAAAGTGCTATGTCTATTTGTTTTTGAGCACTTCCAGTGATGGCAACTTCACCATTTCCCTGGGCAGCCTGTTCAAATGCTTAACCTCTCTTTCTGTAATTTTTCTTTTCCTGATACCCAACCTGAACCTCTCATGGCACAATTTGAGGCCATTTCCCTTTGTCCTATCACTATTCTCCTGGGAGAAGGGGCTGATCCCTGCCCCTCCCATTGTCACAACCTCCTTTCAGGTAGTTGTAGAGAGCAAGGTGACTTTTATGTCCTACCTTTCTCAGTTCAAAATATTAACCTCTTTCTTTTTATTTGCTTCTCTGATCTAGCCTGGGAAGAAGTGCTTGGCTGTCTACAGGGCCAATGAACCCATGAACTACACCATCTCAGGATGTGTGAGCAAAAGTCCATACAGGCCCAAATACTGTGGTGTCTGCACAGACAACAGGTGCTGCACCCCCTACAAGTCCAAGACTATTGAAGTGAGGTTTCAGTGCCCAGATGGAACTGAGYTTTCCTGGAAAATCATGTGGATCAATGCTTGTTTTTGCAACCTGAACTGCAGGAACCCCAATGACATCTTTGCCGACTTGGCTCATTACCACGATTACTCTGAAATCGCTAATTAAATTGGCTGAATGCTGGAATTGACCCTTTGCTCTGATTTTACAGAGGCTTTAAAATAAAAGGACAATCTTCATTCATTGCCAATGTACAATTTGTTTTTTTCCTGAGTTAAGATGTTAAATATCTTTGTTTTGACACACTGTTCTTGGAGAGGCCTTGAACAAACAGGATTTTTAACTCYAATAGATCTTCATCCATTAACAGCAGACAGAAATTTCTTTATGCACAGATGCTGGGACTTAAATGRCAGTTCTCTTGGTGCTGTCATTTACCAGGGCAGCAGTTTAATTGCCCAAAGGAAAGAACAGTACRCTAGTATGACAGCAAAAGTATGGCTGTCATTAGCTTAGACATGAGATTCCGACATCCATATTGTCATTTATTGAATTTCATTGTCTRAGCTGGAAAATAGACATATATGTTTTATTTTCAACATTAGACGCCAGGATTTGATAGTCTGACCCTAGCAACTAAAGTCTAGTATCTGTCACACTGAGAWCAGCCCTAGAACTGCCCCTCTGTTATTCTCAGTCAGATCCTACTCCAGGGTGAATTTCATGGGAAGAGTCCAGGGAGAATAACATTTTTCCAGAAATCTCTGTGTGATAAGCCTGYCTGTCACTACAATAGGCTGGGTCAAAGAACTTCTGTGTCCTGCTCTCTTTGGTCTCACCTCAGTCTCTTGAAGTATCTTGTGCCAGGAACATTTTCACAGTTCTCTCCCAGCTCTGATCTTTGACAGCCTGAATGAATTCAAAACAGCCACTCCAGAGCTTGTATTTTCAGGATAGGTCATCTATCCACAGGTTGTATATTGCTCCTAGACTATCTCTGCATATGCAATGCAGAGAGCCAGATAAGAGATGAAGGACAAGACCTCATGCACCCATTTATTCAGATAGAAATTGTGTGGTCTGTGTTTAGGGACCACCTCCTGCTCCCCGTGGTGTTACCAGCACACAGGTCCCTCTTCCCCTGCCACCTGGCCAGTAACACTTTGTTTTACATCACTGGGATAGAGGAAAACAGACTGTGCTAAATGAGAAAACAGGTGTTAGGCTTCCCATCATCTCTGAGAWTGTGTGGATGCAGGAGAGGCAATCYTTGGCATAGTTTCTGGTGCATTAATTACAACTGGGCTGCTGCATAGAGTAAACAAACATTAACGTAAGCATTTTCTATGGAAGTGGTGTCACATGTAAATGTCAACTAAAAGAAGAAAAATCCCTTTCATTACCTTTACAGGTAATAAATTTATCATCACAGAAGGATGCTGGAGACATTTTTTTCTCTCCAATAAATTGTCAGTACAGCAGCCATTCTCCATGGCACGTTTTCTATTCCTTCACTTGGGAGAGCAGAAATGTGTCTCTGCATGAACAGAACTGTAGTTCTCACTTCCAAAATGCCTGATGGTACAGTAGAATGGCTGAGTGACACATGATCTGGAGTTCTGAGCAGTACAGAGCTAAACTTGGGGAGATGCAGTTGATGGTTTTGCTTTACTTTCAGCTGGCAAATTATCTGTCTTCATCTTGGTGACACAGCACAAGCTTCATTCATTTCTGGGAGATGTGACAGCAGAAGTCATACCTGACCTATTTGCCTCCACCCAAATGAGACCTCAGCACTTGCAAGACTGAAAATGTTGCACTTCAAACTTATCCCTTGGTAAAAAAATTCCATGTGAACACACAAAAAAGAGGTTTGGCCTAGAATTTGACGATTTCCCTTTTCCAGAAGGGAAAATGGTTTGCATTGAGACTCTATAGGGAAGAAATACTAGGACCTCTTTCTCAATCAGATCCTTTAAATATGGTTTGGAACACTGTCTTCTAGTTCTTGTCATCTTAAAAAGCCATATATGTGTGTATGCATATACATATATATGTATGCATATATAAAAATAAATACATATATGCATATGTAAACACATGTATAAAACATGTGCAGGTATCTATATAATGTTATATATAATATTACATATAAAACCATATGGAAACATGCCCATGAATATATATATATATGTATGTGTATGTACATATATATAATCCTATGGTGTATAAATGGGAGAGCACGTATAATGTGTGTTTATATGTACAGTCACTATTTCTCTGTGTTACATGTACACATAAGGAAGACAGAAAACAGGACCAGATCATGTACAAAAAGCTGTGTCCCTCAATTGCCTTGCTTTGCTTTGCAATTAGTTAATGCTGTAACCACAGCAATCAAACGCTGCAGTGGCTGTAACACACRGCTTTCACTGAGAGATAAAAGAAGCTATTGAAAGCTAATCCATGACCAGCAGCTCTAGTGTGTGTTGGTTTTTAGTGAAGTGAATGCCTGGAAACCACAGATCTTGCCCAACGCACCCAAGATGTTTCTGTTTCTAGCCTGGTTTCCTAAGGAAACCAASCGTATGCAGCCGTACTGTTCGTTTGTCTGTCACGCAGTCCCTTTGTGGGAAGTGTCAAACAAAGCAAGCAGAAGTGTAAAGATCTCAGAAGCGTCACAATTCCTGCAATAAAAAATGAAATCAAAGAGCAGGGCAGGGAAGGAGCCGACCACATTATCCCTGTCAAGCCCATTAACACCTGCCAGGTAGTCAATGTGCCCAACATGTCTGCAGTGCGGCCCAACCACCCCAGAAGCAACATAAAGGGGTTTGAACAGATTTTCCATCTGGAAATGAGTAGCCATGGAGGAGGCAGAGCTGAAGGAATCACAGATGGGAAATAGTGGTTATTACACTGCTGTAAAGGAGTTTTGTGGGGCCATTGGACACAAATCTATAGGAAACTAAGCATTGTTAGCTCTACTCCTCTGCTTGTGCAACTGGTTGTCTAGTGACTGTGAAAGGGAAAGAGCAGCACTTGTAGCCAATTAACTTGATCTGCAGCCTGTGGTGTGTTTTAGATCTTTTGTTTTAATGGATGTTTACAAGCAGATTAGCCCCAGGACTAAGGCAACAGAGCAGCTTCAGATTCAGTTCCCTGGCTCCCTCCATGYCTGTGTAAATCATGTATCTTTACAAAAGTACTTTTGTGGTTACTGTTTTAATTCATTGAGAATCTAGATCCCCAARGGCTTTCATGGATCCAGCCCTTTGCTTTACTTCTCAGGACTGCAGAGCCAAAGCAAGGCCCTAATGTTCATTGTCTCTGTTGAGGGTGAAAACTCCTCCAGCAGGAACTCACTGTACATTTGTGCAGTGGGTCCAGGTCTCTGCTGGGACCTGAAAGTGAACCCAWCATCCAAGGAAGCAAAAATTATAGCATTAAGGAGATACCAGGATCAGGCTCCTCTGCTGCAGTGCTCAGGTGAAAGGCTAAAGAAAGGATGAGAGTGACAATTTTGCAATCCAGCCTAAGCCAAGAAACACATCCAGCTCATGGCAATCATCCTGCTGGTCCAGTAGGCTGGGTCAAAGATGAAGGGTGGGATTTTGAAGGTCTGCTCATGCTGGTACAAACGGCAAGGCTCCAGCTATCTCCAATGACCTTTAGCTTTCTGTGGAGGCTTCACCAGAGTCATTAGAGTAGCTCAAGCCACATTGTCTGGGAGCCCAGAAAACAGGTTATCTACTCACCAAACAAGCAGGAATGAAACTATTTAAATGCCTTTCCATGGACTGTTGGCTGGAATTTAAAACATCATTTCGGTGTGCATACAACTGGAAATAGGGTGTAGTTGCCATATTTTTGCAGTTGCTGTATTTTAGATGTATTCACTAGGGTTGTGCTGTATATATTAAATACTCCAGAAAACCCACAATATTCAGAAGGACTTTGTCATAAATTAAACCCTGGAATTTTTTTTGTCCCAGCTTTCTTGAAGGAGTTTTAAAACAAACAGTCTTTTAAACTGGTAGACAGTGTTTTCACTATCTAGAGGCACATACCCATATATTCAACTTCTCAAATTGTGACTTTACAGTTAGAACATTTCCATAAAATTATTTCTCTAAGTTTCATATTCTGAAATCCATGAAAAATTAATGGGAAAACCAGATTGGTTTGGCAGTGTCAATCTGAGTTACTCCAGCCATRTAACACATTACTTGTTTGTAAAGAAACATGTTGAGGTTTTTTAAGATGGCATTTTGCTGCTGTGGTTTAAAGATATTAAATAAGTGKCAAATGGTTCATGAATCTGTGACTGACACTTCATTTAGAAGTTTAGGCACGCAAATTAAGGTGAAATATAGCTKTGACTGATATTTCTTTTCCTTTTCCAATCTCCTTGCCTGGGCAATGTTCAGGTGAGCATTTGCAATGGATGGCAATGGATGGCAAAGCTGTGGACTGGAGGACACATAAAAGTAAAGAGCCAAAAATGATGGTCTGAGAGCATTTTATTCATTGTGAATATTTTGGCAGCTTGGGGAAGCCAGTTGTTTCCCAATTTACATTTCTTTGCTGATCTGTTTCTGGCCCAACATTTGGCTTTTTTCTGCAACACTCTTACTGGACTTGGGACAGTGGTCTACAGTCATTGAGCAAAGTGGAGTGTGTTACTCAACCTGCCTAAGTGTGTCTTTGTTATCAGGTCTCTCGAGAAGTTGCAGGAGTAACCTGTTTTCAACAGCCATACATACTGAAATCGTTCAAACAAGGTTATTAAAGGCATGAGGAAAAGCATTTAAATTAAAGAATCRTTGTTTCATATCCCTTCACTTACCTATCTTCAGAGCTAACCCCAGTAAGGATTCTACCTTTTATTTCTAGGAAAAAATCCCTGTAGTGTTTTCCCAAAAATCGAGCTTGCCTTCCAGCCTGAAGTTGGTTACTTGTCTTGACAGGAACTTAAACAACCCTTTGAATGTCTTCCTTTCCTGAACTGCGATGGGTCAATCTTGGGCTTGCTTATGGGGAGAAAGCATCTTCTCCTCATTCTTCCCAGCCTTCTGCTTCAGTGTGGAAGTGTGCCTTTTCTTTTCTTTTTTTACTTTTTTTTTTTCCCCAGGAAGGGCAGTCCTCTACATTTTTAATCACTTTCCAGCCAACTGTACCTCTGTGCCATATTTCCCCGCTGCCTCTACAGGCACAAGAAGACCCATCTGACCTCTGCAGCCTCTGCTCACCCATGTGGCAGCTGTCCAGCACATGATCTTGCATGMAGGGCTTCCTGGCTGCTTTCACTGGTCTAGGCAACCCATCATYTCCTGAGTACTTTGCACTTTCCAAATGAAGTGCTGACCCTTTGTGAGGCTCTACTTCTGTAGGATCTCTCCTGCCCCAAACACACATGAGCAGCAGGGAGGGAATCACCATAGGATCAGATCAATGTTTAACAWTGGCAGCTGGTGATAAAGAACTATGATTTTTTTTTTTTTTTAATTTGGTCTCATTGTCATTAAAAATGAATGAAAGTGTATTGCAGTCATTGAGTAAAAGACAATTTCCTTGCTGGAGAGATCTGTGTGAGTCTGATGGCATCTCACTGCTGTGTGAGGGGCTGGGTGACACCTTTGCATGGGGCAGGCTCACCAAACCCTACAAGCAGGTTGGCCATTCCCTGAGCAAGAGATGGGGCAAAACCAT